ATATATCTATATTTTGAATTATTTAGACAAGAGTCATACAAGTAAGGTATTATTATTATCGTTAAAAGATAATGGAAGGTCAAAAGAATAAGCATATATATTTTGATTCCCATTGCTATAAGACAATCCACAAAAAGATACTATTCTTCGTAGTTATCAATAACTTTGATCGCTCATTTTACAACACTTTCTGCTTTAAGTCAATTGCATTGAGACTGTCGTAGCTTTCTTATTCATTTATTATATAATACATAGTTGATTACTTATCGGCCATCCTCTACAACAGGCCAAGCAGACCAATACATTACGAGTAAATGGTTAAGGTTTTTGTTCGTTAAAGAATGAGAACTATTTAAGCAATCTGTTTTATGCACTTTCATACATGATAATGTCTAGATAAATCTTCTCTTTTATTTTATAATAAGTCATCATGAGCACTTGGACACGTATCTGACATTTTCAGTTACAAATCGAAACTATTAAATCAACATCGGTTGGATAATCTCTTAATCAGCTGATCTAAAGGATGTTTCTGAAGGAGCGGATTTGTTCAAAGTACAATGCATAATATACATATTTCATAAACAATAAAAAATCAAAGATGCTCTCTCATGATTTAAGTGTATAAACTCTAATTTATTATAGATTCAAAAATAACGATTATTCGTCTCTTTCTTTTAATAATTCGAAGATATTTCATTGAAAAATACTTGTCAGAATGAAATGTTCAAATAAACACTGATCACTACAAGTCAAAAGGCAAGCAGACGTTATTAAATAATATGTGCAAAGAAGTGCTGAAAACAGAATGATTTTTCACAAATAATTCAAAGTGAATCAAATGATATTTGGAGTTTGAATGTGGATGCGTATTGCTTTCGAAAAAGAGTAATCTCTATACATATACAATCAAAATAATGAAAGCTTTTTTAATGTTGTGTTATTTTCCAACACTGACGTGTGATTTTATGAATGAATAAACAGTTATTATCAAATATCAAGGAAAAAATATTAGGGCATAAGGTAGTTGCTGAGACAAACGTTATGCTTAGCATTTTATTTTTCCAAAAAATTGTTTTTCTTCCGTTGTGTTTAGCATATATGAAAACACTGTTAGTTCCTTTTAACAACTAATATTGTTAAAAAAATAAAAAGCAAAAAAAATGAAGTGGGGAATAAAAAAAAGTTCATTAAAAACTATCGATAAACAACATATGCTCATTTTATGTTAGCTCGAGAAAACTGTAATACGTCATTTTCTCCGAACTAAAATAAGAAAAATACACGTTTGAAGAAACTCAGTTTTTTGAAATATTTTACTCGATCAAAAACTTTTGATTATTAGTCATGGATACAAACGAAAATCAGACATTAAATTTTGAAACAATAACAAGGTATGTACTTCTTTATTTTCCCACAAGAAACAAAACTAAAGTTGTATTGTTTTTATAAACAGATTTTTTGGAAAGAAACGGTTAATGTGGATTATTGTGGGTATTGTAGCTGTTGTAGTAGTTGCAGCCGTTGTTATTCCAGCAGCTATCATTCTAACACATAAGAAAACTACAATAACAGAAGTAGGATCAACAACAACAATAACAGAAGTAAGATCAACAACAACAACAATATCTACAGAAACATCAACAGCAATCTCACCAGAAACATCAGCAACAGTATCAACAGAAACATCAACAGTTCAGCCTTTTTATAAAAGTGAGTAACGACTATTTATAAAGCATTCAACAGTTTCTCAATAACAGATACAATATGATTTTTTTTCTATTGAATTCTTATTTTTTATACAATAATCTTCATTTTTATCGCTGCCGAAGAAGAGGAGTTCACAAGAAATCAAATTTATTCTGTGTTACTTTGCCATATAACCTGGCCGATCTTCAGTCGCTTTAGTCTCTTAATACTCACAACCAAACCCTCAAGAACCGTTATAACAGTTATCAAAGGAAATTTTCATCTAAATAAAATAGTTCCATTTACTAATTTATATACGTTAATACTCAACGGTGTACAGTGATTACTAAAATATATTTGTCATCTCTTTTAGATTGGGTTCAAACAAATAGTATGAACGATCCACGAAACGCTCATACAGCATCAGTGTTACAAAACGGAAAATTATTAGTTACTGGTGGTTTTGGACTGAAAAGTGCGGAATTATACGATCCATCAGCAGCAGCATGGACACTTATCAACCCTATGAATGATGAACGATATTGGCACTCAGCATCTGTATTACTTGATGGCAAAGTGTTAGTTGCAGGTGGATGTCATAATGTTAATCAATACCTGAGAAGTTCAGAATTATACGATCCAGTAACTGAAATATGGGCAAAAACGGGTAGTATGAATAGTGAAAGATGTCAGCATACTGAATCTGTATTATCCGATGGAATGGTATTAGCTGCTGGTGGATACGACAATAGGTAATTTCGTTGAGATTTCATCATAAATTAGAAAACGTTTCTCTTTGGATTTTGATATTTCAACTAAATGTATCATTATAGAAAATATTCTTTACTAGATAAACCTTGAAGATTTAGATTGTGTTTTAGAAACATCTCATTGAACGTTCTACTATGTAGAAGTATTCCCATATGTTTCTTATATAAGTTAGCAACGTACCCTTAATCGTTCATTCAAGCTATTCATATAGGATTTTATTTCTAACAAGTCTTTTTTCACAATTTAATTTACACAAACTAACTTCCAAATTCGATTTAGATTACAGTCATATTCAGCTAGTCGATAGAAGATAATAAGACTGAGAGAAAAACATGAATCTATAAATTACTGTCATTGATGTACACAAAAAAGAAATTATCGATGTTTCAAATAATACCAAGATCATTCACATAAAAATTCGAACTGTCTAATTCGGATTCATTCTATCCCTATTCTTGATTAATTGTTTCTATTCAATTATACTATTAGAGTTTTAATATTCTTGATAAGGATTGATTCCTATATAATCTATTATCTTTAATTACACCTAGTAACATCAAATCTTGGAGAAATAACCATTTAAGAATACTAGTTCATGGGTTAAACAATAGTATAAAGTTCATCTGAATATTTTGATAATTTTTTCTGTTCAAATTATAGACAATAAACAAATTCTCATGAGTTAATTAATTTTCTTTTCGATCCTTTGCCATTTTTTATACTTATTTATTTAATGAAAAGATCTTCGACAATGAGAAACGATGGAGAAATCAACAATAAATGTTTTGATGCCTAGCTGACTGTAAGTTCTTGCTTTTTGTCTAGTTTTGTTCATTGATAATGTTTCTAATCTCAAAATAGATCGAGTTACTTGATCTTAGTTGATCAGATTTTTGAAGAGTGTGTATTCGTAGAGAAACTAACTGAAGAGCATAATGAAACAGAATTAAATGTTTCTCAGTTGATTGATTCTATTCTCATAAAATTCTTCGGTACACACCTAGCAAATATGAATGAATGGAATTAATAGGAAAAAATACATTTCTGATCTTTATGAACTGCATAGATTAACACCTCCACATACGTTCAATTACACTAAGTTGCCTGTAAAATCAATCTACATCTTCAGACTGATTATATCAGAATAGATTTTTCTTATTACTATCGATTATTTTTTAAAGATACTGTCTAACTGACAAATTAAAATTGAAAAGAAACTCTATCAAAAAACACATTCAAAACCCAGTGGATTTCTTTTTTAGTGGTGAGCTGAATAGTGCTGAGTTATATGATCCATCGACTGAAACATGGACACCTATTACTAATATGAAATATGCACGAAAATGGCACCAGGCATCTGTATTAGATAATGGAAAAATATTAGTAACTGGTGGTTTAACTGATAGTGCTGAATTATACGATCCAGCGACAAAATCATGGACAACTACTGGCACTATGAATTACGAACGAGCCTGGCATACAGCATCCGTCTTAAAGAATGGAAAGGTATTAGTTGCTGGTGGGGCCTCACGTAATATTCGTAGTGCGGAGTTGTATGATTCAGAAACAGGAAATTGGACAATTACCGGATCTTTAAATAGTGGAAGACATGTGCATGCAGCATCTGTTTTAATCAATGGACATGTATTAGTGTCCGGTGGAACCAATCGATACACCACTTTCTATTTTAGTAGTTCAGAGATCTATGATCCATTAACAGAGATATGGTCTATAAGTGGTGATATGAACTGCCAGAGATACCGACATCAGTCATCTATTTTAGCGAATAGAACAGTATTAGTTACTGGTGCAGAAGAGCGAGGATCATCTACATGCAATGCAGAACTATATTAAATCCTTGAGAACGAGCAACGTATATTTACATTCAGCTTCGAATAAACTCATAATTGATTTGCGCATACATTTTATGATGCTGTTATGATCTGCGCTAGCACATAAATTGTTAATTTGTTACACTGCTATTCGTATTGTGACCTCATTTACCATTTTCTTTTTGCAGTTGTATCCATCACGCTTGATCTCTTTTTTTTACATCGTCTGTCACTTACCTTCGCATACATGCTTTTACATAAATTTTACGCGCTCCTCCTCCTTTACAATCTATAATGAATAAATAATCTGATTAAGTGTTTTATTCCAAATCAAAGGCCGTCAAAAACTGCATCTATGAGTGGAATTAGAACAAAAGTTATCTACAAGATTATTAAAATATCTTGTATTACGGGTGTGGGTGTGTGTATGTCAGTAATTGTTATGTATTTTGACTTTTGTGATAAAACAAGATAAGAATCATTCAGAAGATGGCGACGACTAATTCATCAATAATCAATGTTTCCTCATTATTTCAGAACTTTTTAAATTTATTAGTATAGTATTCGCTTCGATTTGACAATTAATTGGGAAAAATATCGGATAATGAAGGACAAATTTGATGAATTTATGGTGTTATTATTTCTAACCTGTTCAAAAATAAAGAACACTTGGGTGGACACGAAATCTCACAAGTTTCGGAAGTATTGTGTCTGAAAAAGTTCTCATACCAATTTCTCAGCTTATTATTTAATAAAATTTTATGTCAATGTTGCTTTCATCCCTAAAAATACTATTTATAAACTGAAAATGATTAGGCAAAATGTCGGACTAACGATAAAATAAAATTCGGATCTGCTTAATACTTTTATTGATTATCGTTAACAAAATGAATAAGATTAGATTTTTTTTGGATAATATCAAACGGTGCATCTTTTCAGAATAATGATGATAAATATCAAATACGCATAGTATCATTTTTTATGTCACATTCATATGATCATGAACTTCATTAGCTCTCTCTCTCATTTGTAGCGAAGAATGAAATTCTTGAGGGGTAAGAGTGTGGGTGTGGGTAATGAATGAGAAAAATACACACCCACACCCTCAAGATCACTTAGAATATTAAATGTTAAAAACTGAAGTATATTTTTGTTGAAATTAATAAAAGAAAAAAAAATAAATGAGTTACAAATAGTTTTTTAAGAAGCGAAAAGACTTTTGAGTTCATCGTCGAGTTGTTTAGACGGGAAGTTTTACAGTGTTTGTAAGAATACTGCCAACATGAGATATAAGAGGTGCATGTGTATTGTTTCTATTTTCGACCAATATTCTCATGAATGCTAAAGGATTAGTACGAAAATAACATTGATGAAGTTGCAAAAGAGCTCGATGTTCTATTTTGTCCACAAATCCATCAAAGGCGATCCAGCCTTTCTCAAAAGCATCTTCTTCAGTCTCGGTACGTGGTTTCGGACAAAGACCAAGGCATTGACAAAAAGCATTTTGTTCATCTGTGGTTTTAAAGTACAGAGTGCCATTAAAAATAAACAAGACCACTAGCCATTCAATTGGAATTGAGAAAGAAAGGGCCCCGAGATTTGGTAAATTTGATGGCGGCATTGTTAAAATAGGTTTATCGACTATTATTGACTGATCTCGTCTAGTTCGCGGTAATATTAAACGTAATGTTGTTGTGAATAATTCTTTTGATGATTGTTGACGATAAAGGTTATATAAGTGACCCATAAGCCAATTAGCTTCAAATGGACTGACAAAAATAACATGTTCATTGCGGTAGATCAAAATCCATCGTGATGGACGTAAAAAAGGATCCAACGATTCCCCCTGCGTTTGTATGACACGTGTGAATTCATCAGTAACCCAAAGATTTTCTGGCCAACAACGTGATTGACATTCGCGATAGAACGTAGTACCAAGAAAAGCATTAGAAATGGGATGAAATACAGAAGTTATTTTTGATAAATTTAGCATAGGATCATGCATGTTACATAAAGCTTTAATTTCATCACGCAATTGAGGTTCAGCAGGATGGACAGGTGAGGGACGTTTTTGTTGTCGTTCTTCTTCTAATTCTTGTTCTCGTTCTAATTCTCGTTGTTGTTCTTCATCGAGCAATTGTGTCAGAAGTTTTTTCGATCCACCATAATCACGTAATCGTTCAGAAACAGCTTCATGAATTTCCACTGAGGAAAAGATATTGAAATGTTCATGTCGAGCAGAATAAATGTCTGATATTGTCTTAAATGTTTTTGATACACCATACATTAATTTCAATTCTAATACTTCAGCTTCCAATGATTCTTTTGCTATAGTGTCCATTATTGCGTTTGTATACGATGTTTCTTCTTTTTTCCAATCGATACTTCGAAAAGCAGCTAATTTTCGTTGAAAACTTAAACTTTGTGTTGCCCAAAGATGTAAGCCATCCCAAGTCGCCTGCTGAGTATTTTCATAAACCCAACGGAGAATGTCAGTCAAAGTAATTTCTTCGTTACTATTTCCCGTTTCATTTCGTGAAGTTGTATTATTCCTCATTGTTCGAATTTGTTGATGAACTTCGTTTGAACTCCAAAAACTTAACCAATGATACCGACCTAATTTTCTCATTCTCATACATGCTTGAACTAAACGATCCTTGGTAAGACCATTTCCTAAGGTAACGGCAGCTCGAAATTCATTTGGAAACTTAAAATCTGTTCCTCTGGTGTGAATTTCATCCAAATAGAATACACAACGATCCAGACGTTCACTAGCAGGCGATGTTGCAAAAGCATGGTGTTGATATTGACGATTACAAACAAATATCGAATCCGATTCAAAATATACAACATAATCTATTTTCATTTTATCAGATAGGTCTAGCCATTTGACAGCTATTTGACGATTAGTTCCATCTATGAGCAAAGCACCAACATCGAGAATAACCTGAATCATTGGTTCTCTTGTGCCAATTCGTTTCAATATTTCGTCAGTGTTCGTAGCACTAGGTAAATCTTGATAATGATCATTTTTCGAATGAAGTAAATTGTGAAGAACAATGGCATCTGTTTTTTGAAGTTCTGGTAAATCACACTGACGAATATGAACAGGTAATAGTAACTGAGTATCGTTTGTACCACTAAAGCCAGTGATTATTTTCTCTCGTAAAGATGAAGATAGATCCCAAGCAGATGCCACTAATTTCTGAGGGAATTGTTTTGCTTCGAGAGGAAAAACAAAATGATTCAGAAAATAATTTATAACTAACATATTGTACCGTAAACTGGGAAAGAGTAATTGAGTTCGTTGTTGATAATCTTTTAGATTGATTCTTTTCCATTGTTTTATACTTGCGATGATGTCATTTTCCTCTTCCAATGAAATCCATTGATCATAGATCATTTCTGGTTCGCTTTCATCTTGATTCAAACGATTGAAACATTGATATATTTGTGAATCTGTTAGACCTTGATAATAATATGAGATTTGTGTTAATACTATCGCTACATCTGGATGTCCGAATTCAGTATTTTCAGCTGCAACATCTTTTGCACGAAATGGTACCGCCATTAAACGATTGAATTTTGTATTTGGATTTATACCAAAATTGACACGATAGCGTTTTTTCAAAGCTACAAACAAGACTTCAGATGATAGAAGTCCACGCAGGATTAAAAACAATTGAGTTGTATTTTGTGAAAATTGGTTGGGTAGATCATCGACTGATGAATTTGTATCTAATATAAATGATAAGATCTGTTGTTGATCTGATTGTCGATAACTTTTTTGATTAATCCAATCTCTTGCTATTCTTCGACATAGTTTAGGATATGATTCATGATTTAGCAGACGAAATTCTGGAAAACTACTTTGTCGTTTGGGTGATTTGTAGAAAACATCGTTCGTATATTTTTGTGCAATGTTGGCAGCGTGTTGTTTCACTAAATTCAGTACGTATTGAATGGTTTTCCAACGTTCCATACCTCCATCGACTTGCTGTTGACGACCAATCGAGTAAATCAATTGATATTTAACATGTAAAATTTCATCAGATTCATCTAAAACGTCACGAACATACTTTTTCACCCAACTTTGAATGGATAACATTGAACTGCCAGCATCATATTCGTTTCGACGACATTTATCTATTGTAAGTAAATCGAAAGACAAGATATCTTCGGGTGAAGTTATTACAATATCCAGATTGTGTATTCCTTGTTTGAAACGATCAAAAATTTTATTTGCTTGTTGATAAGTAAAATTCATGTCACGACGACATGCAAATGGTATTACACGTCGATTGAGTAAACCACCTAGTTTATATCGTAATGATTGATAATTCGTTGGAAATAAGGCTTTCAATACGATAACACGAACTAAATTTGAAGATAAAGAACATAAACTGACTGCTAACATAGGTAAAATAACTGATGTTTTGCCTTCACCCATATTCATTTGCATAACAATATTTCGTACAGAAGAATTGTTTTCATTCAACGATGGTTGCATCATATGACGTGCTACTTGGACTTGTACTTCTCGAATTGTAATATTCATTTCAAGCTCTAGTATTAACCATGGAACATGTTGTGATGGTGTCCAATTAGCGTGAGGTACATTTAGGATTTCTTTTTCAAAATCTTCCAACTTTTCTAGATTGGCAAAGTTCAATGCTCTTTCGATCTGTTGTTCTACAATCCAATTAACCATAATACCACCAAGTAATATGCATTGATCATGTGTAAGACGTAAGTGTAAGACAGTTGAATTATTCTCATTTAACCAGATTTGTTGGAAAATAGAAATCAAAGTTGTTGGTAAGATTCGTACTACTAGACCCATTTTGACTAATAAATCATTTGCTGTTGTAATAGATTGTACTAATTCATTCCAAAATTGTTTCGATTCACGACGAAAAGAATCAAGAAATTGTTTGATTTCGTCGAGTGATGGAGGCTCTTGTTGATATTCTTCAGTTAAATTAAATTTGTCCCAACTTTCAGTTAAATGCTTTTTAAAATAATTGGTAATATTACTGAGAGGATTGACTTGAGAATCAGTTGAAGGAAAAATTTCCTGTGGAAATTCTTTCTTTTCAGTTAAGATCGGAATATGCATGACTGGTTTAATAAAATAATTCGAATGAGGATGCAAAAATTTTGCTCGTGCATTTTCAATCGATATTTGATGAATTAGTGTATCTGTCATGGTTATGTGAACTTGAAAGTGTACTTGAAATGGTTCGAAGTCAAATCGTTGAGGAGTAACATGTATTTTCGAATTCAATGGAATAATTGGAATAGAAGGAAAATGATTTTGAATATCGTCTAAAAATAGACGAAGTTTGGCATTATATCGCCAAGATTGTAATAATCTGTTGATTTTATTCGTTTGACGAGTTAGTTGATGCATATCCGGTAGATTTTCATTTTCATAAATGGAGTTTTTATCGAAGCAATCTTGAATTTCTCGAAAAACTATTGCTCGCTTAGCATAACCCATTTTTCCTAGATTGATTCGATGAGATTGAACTGAAGTTTCTTGAATTTTTTCATAATCTGTAAATGCTGGATATGGAAGAGATCTCACTAATGACGTTTGTGCTCTTAATACGGATTTCAGCATTTGCAAATAATACGGTTGACTCGCACATTTGCCGGCAATATAATGAAGAAAATCTAGTAACATTTCAAATTGTTCCATCTTATTTTTTTGATTATCACCCTCAAGCAATCTTACATTCTTTGCACGTTTTAATAAACCAAGCCAAATATTTTTCATCTGATAACCATCTTTAAGCCATCGAGATAAAGGAAAACACGCGAGTTCTTTACTGTCTTTTAGATCTAGATCTCCACTAGCATATAAATTATCTACAAGACCGCGTGAACTGTAGTTTGTTAAGTATGATGAATTTTCCCAAATTGGTTGAAATGATTGTGTTGAATTTGTGCAACGAATTTCTTTTTCCATCTGATCAGATAGTCGTGTTGTAGGATTGTATGAATCCCGATAGTCCCAGTAAAGTTTACCCAATAGTTTTTCATTATATTTTTTATTTTGAAAAAGTTTTTGTAACTCATCATTTGAAACGAGTGATGAATGCATAAAATTCCATTCTTCACTGGTTTCGACTAATTTTTTTACTATCAAATAGTAGCCGAAATGTTGTATAGAATACGGTAAACTATTCTCATTCCAGTCGATTTTTACCATACAAGTGAGATTTTCTGGATAGAAATTTACTTTAGGTGAAATTATTGCAATTTGAAGAAGAATGTTTCGAGTAATTGCATCATAAGGTTGATCAGACCAACAACCAGCTGAATATAACAATTGAAACGCACGTTCCATACCAGTCATTCCTGTATATCGATCGGGTAATGAATGCGAGGTCATAGCATGTAATAAGGCTAGATAAAGCCATCCCGTTGGACTGTCAGTTGGTTGAAGAACACGCAATCGATCATTCAAAACAAAAACAAAATATTGATGCAGCATTAATGTTGATGATGGTTTTCGATCGATCGTAACAATTTGATGACCAGTTTTGGATACCTTTGTCGCTTGAACTAGTCCAAAAGGAACAATTAACTTTCGGCATAAAGAAGACGTATTTCTTTCATTAGTTTCTCCGATTGGTGAAAGAAGAAGACCTGATTTGAGACCAGTCAGTGTCCCAAACGATTGATTTTCATCAACATACATATCTGAATACTCACGAGAAGTCATAATTTTGGTATGAATGTCATATTTAAAAGCAATACCTAATCGAGACAGATGAATATGAATAAAGCCATCGTGTTTAATCATGTAGATATAAGATTCTTCATCAAGACGATTGAAATATCGAGTAAACAAACTCTGAAAAAACGATGATGAACGATCGATCAATATTTGCATATCTTCAGGGTTGGACGTTGTAAAATATCCTTTTCTCACTGTTAATATGTAGTCTTTGTTGATTAAGAAATTTGAATCTTGAAAATGAATAGGTCGAAACTCTAATTGATTTTTGTTTATATCTCTCCAGTGGCTATAATTTGACACAAAAATATCCGGTAATTCTCCTTCAAAACAGCTTGAAGGAATTAATTCAAACTTATCGTTTGTTTTTAGATGTCGTTCATAAACTACCAAATCACATTTTCCATAATATATGTAGTCATTCTTACACGTAAATTCATAATAAACGTTTCCATTATCATGATATCCATGTTTTGTAATGTAACTATCTTCTGATTCGGCCGCTTGTACTTCAAAAATATGTTCACCAAATACACGACGAAATAACTCATCTGAAGTAATTCGATCGGGTAAAAAACCAATGGTCATCTTATTGACAAAAAATCTCCCTCGTATGAAATCAATTGATAGTTTGTTTGATTCATATTCACCATCATACCAACCGTCATATATATCTTTGTTTCTTTTTTCCCACTTGCAATTCATTGTACTTTTCGTTCGTACAACTGCCCAATGGATGGCACAAAATTCATTTAAACTTTCATAAGAACTTTCTTCAAGTAGTTTATTGATGATTGGATGAATTGACAATAACACATGTTCACTATAACGCATCAAATTTCTCATAAATATACTCATATGAGCTGTTTTCTTGTTTAAAATACTATTGTCATGCATAGTCGTTGCTATAATTAATAGAGAAATAACATCTTTATTTGTTAGTACCAATTTATTACTACTATCAGTATATATTGAAAATGTAAGCAGATATGTAATGCCAATAACAATGATTTTATCACGTAATCCATTCATCATATCAGAATCTGACGTTGATGAACTTTGAATAGTTTCCGAGATGAGTTGAATCCATTTTTCACCTGTTTTACGACATTTTAAAACTAAATTAGTCATTTGTTGTTTTCTTGTTGAATTACATATCGTGAACATTCGCATTACAATAATAGTTATAATAACTAATATCAATTCATTTTGCCAATTACATTCGCAATCTTTCAAATGATGATCCAATCTTGTCATTAATTCATCGAGAAAATGATCTTCCAATAATTGTTGATGTGATTCAGGACACCACGAACAAGTCAATGATTGACGATTTTCGGTAACCGGACCATATTGTAAGAGTGCATGTGTTATGAGTATCACAACACTTTCTTCATCCATAGATAATGAATCTAATTCGAGAATACTTAGGAGATTCCACCATTGTAAACGATGACCAGAACGAAATGAACCATATTCAATGAACTCTGCTAATTTTAGTTTCAACGAACATTTTGATAGTTCAGCAATGACTTGATTCTGTACAAAGTCTGTATTCTTAATAGCGAACTGTAAATCTTTGTAATTTGAATCTGTTAGTTTAGGTGTTAATGTTTGACATTCATCTTGGAATTCATTTATTTTATTCGAAGATATTTGAACTTGTAGACTATTTTCGTAAAAGAATTCTTCCAGAGATGTTGACATAATATGTCGAGGAGCTGAATAATGACTTTCCGTTATTGATTTTGTTTGAGATACTAATTTTACTTTACAACAATGTGAACTCTTGACGTATTGTGCTAATTTCTTTCGATGAGGACGAGTGCTTAACCATTCATGCATACTATTCGAAGGATTTGGTTTAGGACGATTAATAAATTGCCAAAGTATATCTCGATAACACCGGATCTCCTTCGGCATTTGTAATTCGAACATAACAGCCAAAGCACTTTGTCGTTCAGATGGTATTGGACATTCATAGATTTCAACTTTAATATTTTCTGCTTCTTTCATCATAGTACATCGAGTACATTTTCGATAAAGTATTGTTGGTTCACATTCACATTTCAGATCATTGACTTTTTCCATAAGTTTTTCATATTTTTCTTTGGCATTGTTTATTTCTTCGGTTTTATCTTTCTTGTCTTGTTCAACTTGTTCTTGAATTTCTTGCAAATTTTCGTTGATCTCCATTGAGTTTTCAGCAAAGTGAATACCGAAAGCATTTGATGAATTGATCTTACTTAAAAGATCGGGATATGGTTTTCCATTAAACTCTAAAAAATAATCATACAATTCTCGTACTCGAATCATATCATCACGACTGGGTAGGACTAAAAATTCGAATAGATTCGAAAGATTAGGAATTCGAATGGCGTGAAGTTTCAATCGTTCGAATTGTGGATCCTCGCATAGTTTCAAATGCATCAATCGTATTATGCTTAGTGATGTTAAAATAAAACGACTGTAACCGATTGGATCAGTTGATTGATTGTTTGAATAATAAAAATCTAGAGCTCTACGCTGATAATCTTCGTAAAAAGATTGTAACTTTTCGAAACATGTGCCTTTGTTTGTTGATAGTAACGAACGATTGATCCAGTTTTCCAAATTGGATTGTATCCAAATTTCAACACGCGCTAATGCTATGTTTATAGCATCATTCTCAGAACTGATTAAGGCAGAAATTTGAGGTAACGCATCGTGTTCATGAGCAATATTGCTTGATAATCGATCATTATAATCATATCTATCATAGGAGTGTCCGCTCGAAGTATTTAAACGATTTGTTTCAAGATAAGCTTTCAATTTCTGACACGGATGATGATAAATTTCTGGTTGATCGGGGTTCAGTTGAAGTCTTAACTTATCCTCTTTTTCACCTTTCTCGATAACTGTTTGCCAATCAGAATTCGGCGTCACGTTATCGATATTTTGTTTGATTCTTTCTACTGTATTTTGTACCCATAGGTTTATATTGCTTGAGTCAATCGATAATAACAGTACATCGATTTTGTTCAATCGTCGTACGATCTTTCGTAAACAATGTATAAGAAGATCGGTTGATATCGAAAAGTTTATTCGTTTTTGTCTTGTAAGAATAAAATAAGTTAAAAAATCAGCCATAATTAACTTATAAACGATAGTACCTAATTTTCCCAAACGTTTTGTTAGAATAGTTTGAAAAACAACTTTCATAGTCATCCATAAACCTGATCGTCGAAAAGGATATGCTGAATTCTTATATCGAATTTGATCACGATGCTTTTTCTTAAATGAAATGGATGCGTTTGTTTGATTGTCGATTTGAACACCTTGAAAATGTGTGGTCCACCATTGACATACAAAATGTGATATAGGTACTTCTCGAGTTTCATCGAATGTATAAGATGCTTTTTGAGACTTTGAATATTCAATAGTATTTTTCATAAACTCCATAAGCAATTCACAGTGAGTAGTGGATAATAGCTCACATCGATCAGGCAAACGAAATGTTGGAACAGGAAAACAAGAAAGATGCGGTTCAAGTGATGATGTAATCGTTTCCGTTGGTAAGAGGACTTGCCAAGATGAAATCAATGGTTGATTAAGAGAATTTTCATCGATTTCAATTAAAACTGCAGCATTTTGAGCATAGAAATAAAGCGGGAGGAAATCTCCTGTTGACAGTTCTTGTATGGTGGATTGTAAAACTGAAACAGAACAGGTCTTCGCATTTTGTACGGACGACCAACGCTCCATACAGATCTTAAGGGTTGAAAAGATTGGTAATTCATTCTTTTCATCTAAAGATTTCAAATAATCATGCACAAACTGAAGTAGTTTATATTCATTTTCATGGCCGGATTGAATTAAATAATCGCCTTTTGCTGAAGACGATAATCCATGAGGAAGAAATAGATGATTCAAAATTGATTCATCTACTTCTTGTGCATTCAACGTATCATAATTGTCATGAGAAGACGCAAAACGAAATTTTGTTGAAAACATCTGTAAAATCAAGAAATAGAACGAACGAAAGGTAAAAAAAATACTAAAATACGGATTGAAGAAATGTTAGTGAATGTTTTACTCACCACAGTATAATGATTGTAGTTTTCTTATTTGATTGAACTGCTTTGATGTCTTTAAAATTCTCTTAGAATATATAGGTCCAGGACAGGGAAAAAACCCAAACTACTTAACATATGCAACTAAAGCGTGGCCGAATCACAATTCTGAGATAGATGTCATGAAATTCCATCAGCCGATTAGAATTCCACAATAAAAGATGTTAGACACTTAAACTTTCGTAAAATTCAGAAAAAAATTTGGTAATAATAAATTTTGAGAATATTTTTTGAGTGTACACCTTAAAATATCTACATACATATTCATATCAAAATCACTATTATGATTATACATGTCGTATAGCAGCACAGTATAAGTCAAACATTTTCTACGATTGTTGATAATTACGCTTTAATTTTTGATCGACTCATTTATTCATCAACTACAATCATCAACATTAGAATTACTTTTACGCATAAATGGCCTTTATTTTAGACCAATGAATATTTTAAATCTCTAATCATATGACTCATTTAGTCAATATTTGCTTAAAGTCTTTGGATATCTTACAGATCTTTTTTTTCTATTTGCATAGAAACTGCGATCATTCGATCCTAACAGTACATGAGAAAGTGAAAGAGAACGAAAAAGAAAAAAGACAAAAAACACATAATATAGAACATGAATTTTACTAAAGGGAGAAGCGAAACATGATGAGAAAAATAAGAAAACGAAAGAAAACAAACCTAAGATTAACAAAAAGAATCAGGAGAATTCTGAAGAAGTTCTAAATCATGCATCTCGAAATGTGGAACTTAAAAAGTCAACAGAATATCTTACACATCTGAGTATTAGGTTTTTATCACATCTTTTCGAGATTGCTACAATTCACATGTATCTTTAAACTATCAATAAAAGAATTGTAAAAATTCACTTTCGTTTCACTTCTATTTGATAAAAAATATCCAGAAATAAGGTGTGAGTGAAGAAAAGGTAATCACCCACATCCACATCTTTAACTTTTTCTTCAAAGAAACAAGAATTTATAGTGTGACACATAGTGAAATTTAATGAATGAGAAACTAGTTGATTTTG